CTCACTCACTCACTCTTACTTACTATCATATTACACACTTTCAGATACCTCAGCAGATCTTCTGACCAAAGGAGAAATGCATAAATTCTCCATTGCAATAATTTTTTTTAGATATGATTTATCTAGTTAAGCATGATTTAAAAAAAAATAATGTTTATATCATCTTTTTATTTATATATTCTTTTTGGGGCGTATGACATACTTTGTAAGTAACTTTTAATATTTAATCAAATAAAGTATTTATTTATGTAAATGTTGAATTTTCACTGTCCTTTATGAAATAGAAAATATAATTGTTTTGTTATTAACAAGGTTCTCTTCACTGCCTGCACACTGCCTAAACTCGTGGCTATTAAGCAGGCTTGAGTGGCCATCTTCATTGGTGTGTGGCTCGTTGTCTGGGGACACACAAACACTAATGGTCGGTGTCAAGACTCCTTGCCTCGCTATTGCAATGTTATTATCATTTTCCCCCCCCATTTTCCAATGTAATTTTCACATTTGAGTTCCTGTATGCAGATAGTAATAGATTCCATAACATCTCTCTAAGTAGTCTATAAGCTAGTGCAGTGTTAATAAACATTTTGTTCTTTGTGTTTTTTTTTCTTTTTTTTTTTTGTAATATTCCTTTTTCTGCAATACAACCTGAACTGTTGGTCATGGTGGGCCTGTGTATGGATATAGCTCTTCCAGCCATGGCTTATGGATGGTATTCCACACTTGTTTACCAATAGGAATAATGCAAGAGTCCCTGCCTTAATAATGCCCAATGAGTCTAATCACCCTCCAAGAGCGTTGTGCACTAGTCATTCCCTGCCGTTAACCAAAATTCTCAGGAAGATATATTCCCATCACCCTGGCTCAGAGCCAAATTTTTCTGTGATGGCATGTTCATGTCACCAGTCACTTGTTTAAATTTCTTCATGATGTGATAGTCATATCATCTGAATTAATATTAATGAATTTAACCAATAATTGACATTTTCNAGACCCGAGAAAGTGAGAAAGCGAAAGAGCGAGGAGGATCGAGAGATCGAGAGCCGAGGATCGATGAGACCGAAGAGATCGCAGATTGACCGAGAGATCGAGAGAGCGAAGGATAGGAATGGAGATGGATGAGAGCGAAGAGAGTGAGAAAAGCGAAAGACCAAGAAAGACCGCAGAGCACCCCGAGGATCGAGAGCACGTAGCAAGAGATCGATAGGAGAGCGAAGGATGGATGAGTTATCTAGAGATTGAGAGTCCTGAAAAAGACCGAGAGATCCTTGAGATCGAATGAGACCGAAGATGATCGAGAGCGCAAGAGGGAACCTTGCAGATCGAGGAGACCGAGATAAGATCGATCTGAGCGCGAAGAGACCGAGGGATTCGAGAGACCGAAGGGGAGGACCCGAGAGCGCAACAGATGACTGCCGCAAAGAGGACCGAGAGATCGCAGAAGCGCAAGAGATCGACGATGGAGTCGAGAAAGCCGAGGAGTGAGGAGAGAGCGCAAGAGACCGAGAGATCGAGAGCGCAAGAGCAGCGCAAGAGACCGATATGGGATCCGAGAGCGCAATCGAGACCCGAGAGTATCGAGACGACGAGACCGAGAGAGATCGAAGCGTCAAGGAGCCGAAGGGATGAGAGAAGCGAGGCGAGGAGAAGGCCGGAGAGCGCGAGCGCCGCAACAAAGGCACCGCCATCCATTCTTGCTGCGGCGTCTTAACCCTCGCTTTAATGGCGATGTCGCCGGAGGGGAGAGTCGGAGCCAGACAAAGGTAGAAGGAGGAGACACTCGCGGAACTCGCAAACTAGACGGAAAACAAAGAGGGAGCTGGGCGAGAGGGAGAGGGCGAGGGAGAGCGAGAGAGCAAATAGCGGAGGGAAATGTGTTAAAGAAGGGAGCTAAATAGGGGGAAAATAGGGGCGAAGTTGACCAAGGATTTGGAAAGCAAATTGGGAGAGCCATTTCGCGGGAGAGCTTGATTATCTTTAAACGCTGATGGCGGTTGTCCCGCCTCTCTCTCCTCTCTCTCTCTCTCTCTCTCCTTCTCTCTCTCTCTCTCTCCTCTCTCTCTCTCTCTCTCTCTCTCTCTCTCTCTCTCTCTCTCTCTCTCTCTTCTATCTATCTTCTCTCTCTCTCTCTCTCTCTCTTCTCTCTCTCTCTCTCTCTCTCTCTCTCCTCGTTCTCTCTCTCTCTCTCTCTCTCTCTCTCTCTCTCTCTCTCTTCTACTCTCTCTCTCTCTCTCTCTCTCTTATCTCTTCTATCTATCTATCTCTCTCTCTCTCTCTCTCTCTCGTCTCTCTCTCTCTCTCTCTCTTCTCTCGTCTGTATGGCTTCCACCAATTCCCTTCTGCCTTCCCACGTGGTGTCGGTTTTATCTTTTTATCGTTATTCTATTTCTTTCTTTTGTTCTTCTCTTTGTCGTTTCCTTTTTTGTTTGTTGTTCTTTTTCTATCTTGCTTTGTTTGTTTTTTGTTTTTGTTTTTCCCTTTTTTCATATTTCTGTCTTTCTCTCTCTTATCTCGTCATCTGCGCTTCTTTCTAATTCCCCTTCATCTTTTTCTATGTATTTCTTTCTTTGTCATTACTTTTTCATCATCTTCTTGTTTCCCTGCAACTCTCTCTTTTTACCCTTTTTCTGTCTTCATCGCCTTCTCTTCCTCATCATCATTATCAACCCCCCCTCTTCCTCTTCTTCCTCCTCCTCCTCTTCCTCTTCTTCCTCCTCTTCCTGCTCCTATCTCTCCTCGTCCTACTCATTCTCCTCTTCTTTCTCCTCCTCTCCTCCTCTTCCTCCTCTTCCTTCCTCCTATTCTCTCCCCTCCTCTTTCTCCTCCTCTTTCTCCTCGTCCTTCTCATCCACCTCTTCCTCTTTCTCCTTCTCCTCCTCTTTCTCTTCCTCTTCCTCCTCTTCTTCATCTCATCTTCTTCATCCTCTTCTTCCACTTCCTCCTCTTCCTCCACCTCCTCCTCTTTCTCTTTCTTCTTATTCTCCTTCTTATGCAACACCTTCCTCTCCTTCTCCTCTTCTTTCTACTCCGCCTGCATCTTCGAAACAAAGGACAGACGTAAAGGACAAACATAAAAAATATGTAAAAAGAGAGAGAGAGAGAGAGAGAGAGAGAGAGAGAGAGAGAACAAGCAAGGAAAAAAGCAAAAAAAAAAGCTCACACAGACAAAGGAAAGCAAGAGAGATAGACTGAGAGGGAGAGAGAGAGAGGAGAGAGAGAGAGAGAGAAGAGAAGAGAGAGAGAGAGAGAGAGAGAGAGAGAGAGAGAGAGAGGAGAGAGAGAGAGAAGAGAGAGAGAGAGAGAGAGAAAGAAAGAAAGAAAGAAAGAGAGTCGATAAACGCAGGAAGAAGGACAGATGAAGAGTGAAAGGGGGAGAAAAGGAAGGGCAGGTAATGGAGGTGAATGAGACATGAGTAAACCGCAAGTGAGTCAAAGATGAGGGAATGTTCCCACACTCATACCCGGACGGGAACGTAGCGGACAGAGAGGGGGGTCCGTCAGCGTGCGTTCCAGTAACTCAGAATTGAAGGGAAGGGGGTGATATTAGGG